TTGAGTGTATCGGTAAAGTTATATTCGGAAAGAATAAACCAGTTTTATTAAGTAAAGACTTGTGTCATTAAAATTTCGTCGGAACGATGTTACGGAAAAATCAATTAACAAACGAAGACGTAACAATATTAACAATGACTATTTCACAGTATTGGCTGAGCAAAACTAAAGTTTATTGTACTTATAAAACCACCAAAATTGCTGTATAAGTGTTTATGGAGTGAATCAAAATTTCACTCTTTCAACAAATTTATCTTAGTAAGTAAGTGACTTTTCCAGACAAGCATAAAGAAACAATTATGAACCTTATCGTTATAATTCTTACACAGAACTCTTCCACTTGTGGTCTCAATGATTGCTATCTTGTACTGAAAAGGATACTATTCATTGGCACCAAAAACAAAAATCCATAAAACAAATTTCACATTTTGGGTATTCAAGATTCAGAGAATTACAAAAATAAGTATATGTGCAACAACCATTTCTTTATCACAGAACAATTTTAAATAAAGGTATTCTCCTCACAACAAGAACACTGCTTTCACTAGAACTGTATGTGAGGGTTTGATTATATTTTTGTTGATGTAATTTTTAAATGTGGTACTAAAAAACTGGAGTTCATAAAGAAAAACTTATTTTTTCAATAAGGGGCAGCACTTTTAATATATAAAAACATTAAAGTTTATATCAGTAACACTTATGAAAATTTTGAGCTCTGCTAGTATATAAAATGAACAATGAGCTACCTTGGGTGTATAATTAGATTTGAGAGTAGGTTGGTAGAGATCCTGATCAGTAATAAAATAAAATCGGGTATATGAGTGCCCCACATTCGGTATTGCTGCTGCACAAAAAATGTAGCTAATAAAAAGGAAACAATCGTATACAGTAAAATGTTTTTTAAATTTTATAAAGACAAGTAGGATCGATATATATGTAACCTAGCTAACTATAGTAATAAGAAAGTCAAAACTACAAAAACTGAGTTGATTAAAATTTATAAAATTTAACTCTACTTTGGTAAATCACTGTAATTATGTTAGTCTAAGCCAAAGTAAGGATAAAATATACTGACTTCCAAATCATACTTGCCACCACACTTATAGCTATTGCTCAACTACCAAGGTTTCTTCCTTTGCCCATCCAAGCATTAGTTTGATTTTTCATAACCCACTCAATTACCCATGGCAATATTTCTCTCGTGACACTCTCTACCTACATCAATGTGCCTTCTATCCTGGTGCTGTATATAAGCACTTCATCTAGATAATGTTATCACTTTTTCTCGACAAAACATCACTAACAAGTTCCCAGTATTATGATCGTTTAGAGATACTTTGAATGTTATCCATCTTATCTAGTTGATTTTCGTACTAATAATAATTTAAAACAGAACTTATTTTGATTGGCAAGCCAATTTACTGTATGGATTCCCAGTTTAATATTTCCGGCACTAAGGCAAATCGGGTCTCTCCTATCCCACCTCTGATATCTATTGTCGCATAACAATCTGGGGGGGGGGTCACTTTCAGTTGAAACTGTCGGTGATTTTAATTTGTAGTGAGATGGAGACATACATTTTGTTCTATGGTGTTCCTCCAGGGGGCTCTGAGGTTGCAATTGAGGGCAATCCTTGACATTCTGAAGAGAATTTAGATTTGCTTTTTCCTGCACCTACTTTTAATCTGTTAGCTTTTCAGTCCCTCTGTGGGACAGTGGTAAGTTTGCAGACTGGCAGTGCTGGGGTCTGGGGTTTGATTCCCTATGATGGACGTGGCAGATGAGCCAACGTCGCCTTTCTCTAACAAAACAAATTTATCTGACAAAATGTTGCTCCAATCAATGGTAATTAACACAGTCTTTAAATGACCTATAAAAACTTTGGGATAAGCTACCTTTGATTTGTTTTCTTCTGTTGGTTCATCGAGAGTATAAGGTTTTGGGTCTTTTCCCGATTGCTTTTGACCCTCCACCTTACTTTATAGCTGAAAGGTCTGGGAGCAAATTTTCAGTTTTTCTCTCTATCCATGTATATTGAGGTTCATGCTGGGAGGTTTACTTCTCAGTTACGTGAAGGGACAATTATGCCTTATCTAACATGGTTGTCAGAACTTCATGATATAGCCTACCACCGCCAGATGGAAGCATTTTCCAACTCACAATTAAAACGACTGCTCCTCGAATTTCGAGGTTCTAAGGCGGAATTTGAATTAACCTGAATATAGCAATATCCCCTGAGGGGAAGAGGAAGTCTATAAACTTACAACTCTAAAATCCAACATTTTGTTTTTCTGTCACTTCACTTTGTTGGAAGACTCTCAGGATCACCACCTTCACTGATGATGAGCTGGATCCATTGTTAGCATACACATTGATTCAATTGTTGGCTCCTACAGGGGATCATAATTCCATCCGTATTCATGGGCCCCGACCTTCGACATCAGCCCCTCAGTACATTGGTACCCAGAATAGATTCTGTCTATATATATCCCAAGGTTCTGCTGCTCAGTCAAATTGGCGGAAGTGGTGTCAGTGATTATTGTATACTTTCAAGGTCTGTGGGGACTTGGCGCCAATAATTTCTTGTTGTGTGGGAACCTTAACCACAGATCCTGGAGCACTACAGGTATTTGAGTCAGGATTAGTCATTCAGTTCACATCTTCACCACTATTATCCACCCAACCTGTAGTGTTTCCATCTCTTACAGTTCCTTGCGATTTGAACTTGGTTCTAGGGCTATCAGATTTTTGTTGGAAAGGGGGTAGTGAGAGAGTCATGCTAGTTATTTTGAGGTTTTATTCCCATTGGTTGTTGGGCCTCTGAAGATAGGAGATTGGAGTGCAGCCATCCATTTTTATCCTCTATATCAATACCTAGATTCTCCAAGGTTCACAAGTGACTCATTCCTCAATCTGAGTTAACAATTTGTACTGGGATTGTGGGTGTACAAGTTCATTGTAGTCAACTCCTATCTGCACATTGCACTATTGATGTTTTTTTGTGCACAAGGGTGTTCCAGGTTTTTACTTTAGGACTTGCATAGATGTCTGGTTACTGTTGGCACAATCTCATTAATTTTCATACCATCACACCCTGATTCTATTTTCAAAAACAACCAAGGCAGGCTTAATTTTCAGGGCTGAGACTTCTATTCTTGCTCCAATTCCATATGTCACCAAACTGGGTATTTTTTATCTCGTCTCTCAGTTGGGCTCAGCTGTCTTCCATGCAGCTCAATGCCCTGGAATAGGAAGCCTGACTCTTACTCACCCCTCCTTCTCCCACTGCATGGATGGTTCTTTCTCTTTGAGAATATGGGCATTACTGGAATCCCTCATGCCTTTTGGATGAGAGCACAAGAGACCCTTTTAATGGTCTTTATACAATCAGGGGATCATAAACATCGATTCACTGGATTCCCAGTTTCCTTAGTCAGAATCATTCTTCAATCTAGAGGAGTTAAGTCAGGACACAACTAATATATGGTTTTCTCTACCGCTACCTCATCCAAAGTTCCATCTCTTCACGAATGCCTTGCTTCTGGAATGGGGTGCATATACCAACAGTCAGGAATTCCAGGGTTGACATATGGATAAAGAAGCTTACTTACAGAATATTTTAGTCCTTCTTGCTCTTCATAAAGCAATGCTTCATAGTCTAGGCTTATTAAGTAGAAAATCGTCAGGTTTCACTGTAACAATTTCGTGGTGGTTTCTTATGTTTTTCATCGAGGAGGCACTTTGTTCAGGGATCCTTGTTTTCAAATTTTCGACCTCCTTTCTCAGGGCCATTCTTATCTTATTACCCTACTAGCTTGCCATGTTCCATCGATGATGCCTGCAGTAGCTGGTCAAATGTCTCAATCCAAACAGATTCTTCTGACAGAATAGATGCTGCACCACAAGATTCTGTTTGACTGGCTCCTATTTTGCAACTCTGATTGGTGGGTTGACCTCTCATTGGATCACCCAACTACTGGCAATTTGGTCTTCAGTACCTCATTTTTGGGCTTTGGCAGTGGATGTATTCTGTCAGGACAAGATTACAACTCAAGGCCTTCCCTCCTCTTCATATGTTACCCAGGGTACTAAATATGATTTTTCCAACCCATTTTTGGGTCCTGTTGATAGCACCAGATTGGCTGCTACACCATGGTTTCTCCTTCTATAGTACCTTCCTGAGTGTCCACCTTTTCTACTTCTTCTTAGTCTATCTCTGTAGAGGCAAACATGATCTGACATGGTACATCTGGCTATCGAGAAGCTCAAGCTGCAGGCATAGAGATTTAATTGTTTAAATTCTATGGTTGCCATGTATCAGTCTCAGTTTTTGCTTTGTCCCGAGGTGAACACTTCCCAACAGAAATGACACACATATGAGCAATAGTGTATCGAGAGGAGGTTGAACCCATTTCAATCAGAAGTGTTAACCATAACTAATTTTTGACTTGGCTGTTTTGCAGCATTTTTTGCATCTTCCACAATCGCCCTGTTTAAGGTGGAAATATCGATTACCATTTGAATATCGCGGCCTAATATTCTTTGAGTCCCCAGTCCTCTCAGGATTCCTCAAATCCTTTTGGACCCTTGATCCCAAATGACTATTTCAGTTATTTAACAGGTACTGTCACTGGGGTGATGTACAGAGGCTTTTCCTCCAGAGAGTTAGAGTGAATTCCTCCACTCTTAGAGAAGAGGGCGAGGTTGGGGTCCTCCTACTTGGGTCCCTGGATGTTTTTTCGTAGATATTAGTAGGAGTCGCATTGGCCTATGTGGGAGCCTACTCATAATACTGGTTCAGATTATATGCTCAGCTATCCGCTTTGGATGTGCATGACCCTTCTTTTTGATCAATATTGTACAATATTGAACAGTACATTGTTCATAGAAGAAGGTCCATTGTGTCCTTGTAATTCTGAATGTGGAGTGATTCCATCATGGGTCCTTTGTTGAGCACAATTGTTCCACATCATCTCCATAATTCTGGGGGCAATTTACCTTGCCCACATAGTTGGAGAATTAGGATGAGTGTTCTTACTTCCAGACCATATGAGTTCTGTTTCCTCAGGTTGAGTAAGGCATAGACGATCCCATCATTCCGAACCTGGGGTGTTGCCTTTCGCATTTCTTCTAGTTGAGGAGAAGGTTTGTCCACTTCAGTGTTGCTTACTTTCTCATTATGATCCTGGTGGCTCTAAATGCATCACTCTATGGCTACAGGTTGGGATCCACTCATAAGTGTATATATATATAGAGAGAGAGACAGAGAGTTTGCTGTCCAAATGCTCTTACCAACAAAGTGGGATATAGGGACCATGACCCTTTAATTCAAACCCCAAGTATTGGAACCTCGGCTATCTAGTTGGAGCCACAATACAGGAATTACGTTCTGGGTAAAGAACATACCTGTTCTGGATGTAGTACAGTTTCTCCACTTGGGTGCCAATCTTCTGTTGACACACCTATGATCTATACAAACGTTTTCCATATGGATGATACCCTCACAGGCCTTCCATCTTATCAATGTGGGATTCTAGCTGTAAGTGTGAGAAGAGGAAGATATGTTTTGGAAGTTAACATTTTCTTAAATTGAAAATGTATTTCCAATAATAACTTCCCCCTCTCATACTTTCCAGCCCTTCCTCCCTACTAAGAGCTGGTGTTATAGACTGGGATTGTGTCAGCCTCGAAAAAGGGATAACATTATCTAAATGAAGTGCTTATATACAGCACTAGGATAGAGGGTGCATTGATGGAAGGGGAGAGTGTCATGAGAGAAATATCACCAAGGGCAAATGAGTGGGGTAAAAGAGACTGGAGCAAATGAGAAAAAATCAGACCAATGCTTAGATGGGCAAAGTAAGAAACCCTGGTAGTCGAGTAATAGCTATAAGTGTGAAAGGAGATAGTTATTATTGGAAATACATTTTCGATTTAAGAAAATGTTTACTTCCACAAACAGTATTATATAGGTTCACTTTATAATACAAGGATTGGCAGGATAAGTTATGAAGTAACCTTAAATTTAACTAAACTGACAGAGTTTAAGGTAAAAAATATACAAACTGGACACACTGTGCAACAAAAATGAAACAGTCTTTATTAAATTTACTGACAAAAATATAATATGCATACTTGTATAGGACACTAGACAGTTTCCTTTTACTTTACTTGGTTTTTTCACTCAAGATGTTTTCCCATCAACCAACTCACTTTAGATCCCATATTGTAGTGTTTAAAATCTAATGTTTCATATTTAACATAAAGTGACAGATTGGTGCTACCTTCATGATTGCTCATTCTCATTCAACATAGGGTACGTTGTAACTTCTAGATATTATTTTCCCACCTCCCTGTGGGGGCAAACACAGCTAGGAAATGTCAGCTTAATGGTTTTCTTGACGATGCATTATGTGAAAACTGTATAAACTCAGAATAAACAAAACATTTTGAAAAATTCTACAATATAATAAAAAAGTGAAAAATGCACAGTATGCCTGCATACTACAATTATCAAATGCAATTAAGTAAGTAATTTGTTGAAATATTAAAACAGTTTAGTTTTTATATTAAATGGTTTATCTGCATATTTAAAAAAAAGTTTTATAGTACTTGTATTTAATAGCTTAACTCTTAGATTTATAAGAACTACATAAAGGTTTTGATAACTCAGTACCATAATAAGGGTAATACTTTTCAGTCAACTTGAAGAACAGAACATACAAGAAAAATATCGGCGAGAAGGAAAGCAGCCACCAGGTGTTTGTGGAAAATCAAGGTACATTTATTTTTCACAGTTTATTGCATTAATTGCTTGATGGATCTTTTGACTCAAAATACATTGTGTTCTAAATATATAGGTAAAACGTTATCTACCAAATAAAAAGATTAACATTGCATTTGAAAATTTGTGTTTAAAAACTTACCTACTCTCACACTACAGCTATTACTTGATTGCCAAGGTTTCTTCCGTAGCCCATCCAAGCATTGGTCTGATTTTTTTCTCGCTTGTTCCAGTCTTTTATACCCCACTTCATTGACCTTGGCAATATTTGTCCTGTGGCATTCTCCACCTACGACAATGTGCCCTCAATCCTGGTACTGTATAAAAGCACCTCATTCAGGTAATGTTTCACTTTTTTTCGACAAAGTGTTCACTAATGGGTCTTTCCGTACCATGATTGTTGGAGATACTTTGAGTATTCTTAGTGTCACTTAGTTGATTTTCGTATTAAAAAAAAGCTGGAACTATTGTTAGCATGCGCATTGATTTAATTGTCGGCTTCAACATTCATTCCTGTTGGCCTTAAATGGGCTCCTGACATTAGCCCCTTGGTATATTGGTACCCAGAATAGATCATGTCCATATCCAAAGGTTCCACTGCCTGGTCAGAATGCTGTGTTGTGGATTATTGCATGCCTTTGGGGTCTATGAGGGCTTGATTCTGAGAATTTATGAACATGTGATAACCTTAACCTTGGCTCCATGGGCACTACGGGTCCTTGAGTCAGGATTAGTCATTTAGTTCATCTTCACCACCATTATCCACCCAACCTGTAGGGTTCCATCTTCTGCAGATCCTCCAATTTTGGAACTTAGTTCTCTGGCTATCAGAGTTTGGTTGGTCTGGGGGTAGAATGAGAGAGTCGTGCTAGTTACTCTGGGGTTTTATTCCCATCAGTTGTTGGGCCTAAGAAGATGGGAGATTAGTGTGCAGTCATCGATCTTGCTCATCTATATCAATGTTTAGATTCTCCAAGGTTCACAAGTGATTCATTCCTCAATCTGACTGGGCATTTTTTACTAGGATTGTGGATGTCCAAGTTTGATGTAGTCAGCTCCTATCTGTACAATGCCATAAGGCCCAGCATGACCAGGTGGTTAGGGCACTCAACTCGCAATCTGAGGGTCACAGGTCCGAATCCCTGTCCCACCAAATATGCTTGCCCTTTCAGCCATGGCAGAGTTGGCAGTGGGTGGTGATGACTAGCTGCCTTCCCTCTAGTCTTACACTGCTAAATTAAGGATAGCTAGTGCAGATAGCCCTTGTGTAGCTTTGCACAAAAATCAAAAACAAACAAACAAACATTGCTATAATGGTGGTGTCCTGCCATTATTGACATTTTTTGTGCAAAAGGGTCAGGCACTGCAGTTCATGGTTTTTTTCCTTTGAACTAGCATCAGCATCATGCGGATTCTGCCCAATCCTATGAGCTTTTTTTTCTCACTCCATTCCTTAGCCTTGTGCGCACACCATTCAGTGGATGACTGATTACTGCTGGCACCATCTTGTCAATTGTCAAAACATCACACCCGGATTCTATTTTCAGAAACAACCAATGCAGGCTTCATTCTCAGAGCTGAGACATCTATTCTTGCTCCAACTCAATATGTCGTCAGTTTCGTTTTTGTTTTTTTTTCATCATGTATCTCAGTTGGGCTCAACTGGCTCCATGCTATGGAACAGGAAGGCCGACTCTTACTCCTCTCTCTTTCTCCCACTGCATGGATGGTTCTTTTTCTTCTGAGAATGTGGGCATCACTTGAATCCATCAATCCTTTGGGATGAGCACACAAGATATCCTTTCAGTAATTTTTATGCAAAGAAGGGATCATAAACATTAATTTACTGGATTTTCCAGTTTCCTTTTTCAGGATTATTCCTCGATCTCAAGGGATTGTTAACCCTTTTGAGATGAGTCACGGGTGAAGGGCCATGTCATCTTGTTTGTTGACTCACATTCAAAATTTTAGGGAACTACTATTTCAGGAATTTATGTCAATAAGTTTGGTATCAAACTATGTATTATAATTCAAATTTTAGTACTATATATTACTCAATTTCTTAATTTAAAAGCAAATATTAAAAAAATACAGATAAACATTAATTTTTGTGTTTCACATGGTATGTTAAATGCAGCACTGGTTCAAATTAGATGTTTGTGAAGTCAAAATACTAAGTCTGTAGTTTCGTATCAATTAGAAACTCAAATTAACGATATTGACAAGCTATAAAATCAAGTAAGAGCCTCTTATCTTTTCAGTTTGCTAAGATATTGCTTATGTAATAAATCAAACACAGTGGCACTACACCCACCTCTTTCCATTTTTGTAAATGCTCCCTTATATAAACTTCTATATATGACATGAATAACCAATTGGAAGCTCAGAATGTCCCCTAGTGGCTTTCTAAGCCATTTTAATGAGCTTGGGGGCCATTTCTTTCTTTTTAACCAATATTTCAATGAGGTAGGGTATGTCGTTAGTCTGCTTGAAATTTCATATTTTTTAAGACTAAAATATATCTTAGTTACATGGCTTGATAAATTACAGTGAAATTCTATGGTATTAATGTAGTAATTTTTGATTTTTTTTTTAGTTATTCAAATGTATATGTAAAACCTAAAAAAATATTTTGTTTTATATCCTTCACATGCAAAATTTTTTAAAGTCTTAGCTACCTACATAAAGCAGCAACTAAGTACAAAGGTCGTAACTAGAAGAGATAATTGTTTGCTTTATTTCTTTATTTACTGTTCTATGTTTTAGGATAAATATGTTTAAGAACGTATTTAAAAATATTAATAATCTATATACATATATAATGTATAATAATTGAAATGTTACTGTATTACAAAATACTAGTCTACTAAAGCAAATCCAAGACAAGTTACTTTGCACAGATCAAAGGTCAGTTTTATGTTATTTGATATGGTAACATGAGTGCATGTGAGCTGCATCATTGTAACTTCTGTATTGTTAGCTAGGCATGGGTGAAAGATCAGTATAATAAATATATATAAATCTATAATGTTATGAGATTTAAACTATTTAGTCTAAACATTTATGTTTTCATGTTATAATTTGTGTTAATTCCAGAATGAAAGAGGCATAATTTATATTTATTTCCTAATTTTTTATGGTGGTTGCGAGATCGGTCAAATCTATGGAACCCGTACAGATAAAATATAACGTTTTTTCTTAAGAAATGTTTGATAACTATCTCGACACTATAAAGATTTCCCACATGAAATTTGAAAATATTTTTAATCTTAGAATGAATATTACTTTGCATGATGGATAGGCAACATGCAAAAAAAAAAACATTGCTTTATAAACTATAAGACTTAATAAAAAATTTATTATGCATATGAAAGCATTCTAATGTTTGCTGATAATATGCTAAATTTCATTAACATTTGCTAACTAATTTAAAAGCTATAGCATGAAAACTATAACAAATACAAAATGGTTACGAGGTCAGTCCCATGTACCGAGACTGTGTTGAAAGAGTTAAGGCAGGACAATACTAAGATATGGGTTCCTCTGCCACCACCTCGAATAAAGATGCATCTCTTCATGATTACCTAGCTTCAGAGATGGAGTGTATATCCCAACAGTCAGGAATTTCATGGTCTATGCATGAATGACGAGGCTTACCTACTTGACCTTTTAGTACTTCTTGCTCTTGAAAAGGTGATGCCTCATGGTCTGTGCTTATTAAGGGGAACATCATCAGGCTTCACTCCCACAATTCTATGGTAGGGTCTTGCATTTACTGTCAAGGAGGCACTTGGTGCAGTGATTCTTGTTTTCGAATCTTGGATCTCCTTTCTTGGGACCACTCCTATCATATCACTCTACTAGCTTGCCATGTTTGACAGGTGATGAATGTGGTAGCAGATCAATTGTCTTGATCCAAATAGATTCTCCCAACAGAATAGATGCTGCATTGCAGGGTTTTCTGTTTGATTGGCTCTCATTTTGTGGGTTTGCCACTCATTAGAACACCCAACTACTGCAATTTTGTCTCCAGTATCTCACCTTTCAGCTTTGTCAGTGGATGCATTCTGTCAAGATGGGATGGGATTACAACTCTAGGACTTCCCTCCAAGTCATATGTTACCAGAGGTACTAACTATGATTTGTTCCAATTTATTGTCAGGTCCTGTTGATAGCACTGGATTAGCAGCTATGCCTTGGTTTCTGCTTCCATGGTACCTTCGGGCATGTTCACCTCTTCCACTTTTACTTTCGCCTTCTCTTTGGAGGCAGCCATGATCTGACATGTTACACCTGGCTATCCAGAAGCTCAAGCTTCAGGCATGTAGATTATGCAGTCTTTTGCTTGGCACCGGAGTTTAATTTCTGGGGTTGCCATGTATCTGTCTCAGTGGAAATGGCACACATTTCGGCAATGGTGTATTGAGAGGAAGTTGAACCTACTTTGATCAGAAGTGCAAACCATAACTCCTTTTTTGGCCTGGCTCTTTGGAAAGGGTTACGCATCTTCTACAATTACCTTATATTCTACCATTCAATACTTGAGACAAAATTTATTTGTGTCCCCAGTTCTCTTTGGCTTTCTCAAGTCACTTTGGGTCCTTTGTCCCAAACAACCATTCCAGTTACCTAATTGGTATATTAAGGTTACAATGCATGCCCTTTCTCAACACTAGTTTGTGACTTTAGCCTCATATGCCATGTCTCACCTTTACCTGAAGGTCTATTTTCCATTGCTGCTGACCTACAGACATTGCCAGTCAGTGTGTTTTGTGCTGATTGTCCACAGGATGCTTTATCACTCTACCTATGTCCTCAGATTGGTTCTTCTTCCCTAAGACATGGTAAGCTATGGAAGGGGATAAATCCTTTTCACCAATTCATCTGATCACTATTTCTCATTTCTATAACTGATCAGATTTCGATCATTTGTATTGCCTAGTTAGGGTCTCGAAGGTTTTGTTGCCCCTACTAATGCCTTTAGAGATTCTAGGCAACGACTTTTTTTATTCATTGGGATCATTCAGTTTCCCAGGATTCATTCCAGTTGCATTGACGAGGTGGGAAGAAGTTGTTACATATTGCTTATTCTGGGCTCTCTTTGAAGGCAAGGAATCTACTGCTAGTCATGTCTAATCACATTTATCACATTTCTATGTACTTAGCAGGCTGATTGAATTACCCACTGGAGGACATTGTGTCGGCTGGTATCTGGACCTCCCCCAGTACTTATATCTCACATAATTTGCATAAGCTGGCAGTATCTTCATCTGAGGGTGTTCAACTACCCCCTGTAGCTATCTTAACAACTTCTGCTAGATTATATAGAGGGGTGAGCATTTTTATTGCTACACTTGTCTCTTCTTTACTTTTCAGGGTCCCTTACCTCGTTTTCACAGGATCCCACTCTGTGGTGAGTGTTGCCAAGATAGGTGTGCTTTTATCAAACCAATTTTGAGCTAGCAACCACTAATTCAATATACTTTATCTAGGTTGCAATAGGCTCTGTAGAAATGAGGTGCTCCATAAGATCACCTAGAGGCTGCTCTGGTAATATTACTGTACTATGCTAGACTGCCACTCATAGACTATCATGAGTGAAGCATAAGGGGACCCTGCCTGTCCCTGCTGATCATTGGATTGAATAAACTGGGGTCAGTTTCCTTTTAAAAATTTAGGGAACTTGGTTCTCCTATTGCACTGTATCCAGAGCACTGTTCCTTTGGGCTTCTCAATATGTATTACCCCCCCCCCCCATCCAAATTCTACTGGTGGAGCTAGGGAGTCCTTACTGTACCCAGTTTCCAATCACTGGATTGGTGAGCAGTGACTTTTCCTCTAGAGTGTTATAGTGAATTTTCTTCACTCTTGGAGAAGAGGGCAAAGTTGGGGGCTCTTCCACCAAGGTCCTTGGATGTTTTTTCCCAGATGTCAGTAGGAGTGGCACCAGCCTACATGGGAGCCTATTATAATACCAGTTAAGATTTTACACTCGGCTATCTGGTTGGGGTGTGTATGGTCCTTCTTTTTGATCAGTGTTGGTTCAGTACATTGTTCATGGAAGAGGGTCCATTGTCTCCTTGTAATTCCAAAATGCAGAGTGGTCTCATCATGGGTCTTTGGTTGAGCACAATTGTTCCACATCATCCCCATAATTCTGGGGGCAATCTACCTTGCCCACATAGTTGGAGAATGAGGATAAGTGTTCTTAATTCCAGACTGGATGTGTTCTATTTCCTCAGGTTGAGTAAGGCATATAAGATCCCATCATTCCGAGTCATTTCTTTGGGTTGAGGACAAAGTTTGTCCACTTCGGTGCTGCTTACCTCCTCATCATGATTCCGGTGGCTCAGAACACATCACTCTATGGCTACAGGTTGAGATCCACCCACTAGCATATGTATATATATATATATATATCTTGTGGTCCAATTGCCCTAGCCACCAACTTGGGATATAGGAACCATGGTCCTATAATTCCAACCCCAAGCAGTGTAACCTCAGCTACCTGGTTGGGGCCTGGTGAATAGTGATGATAAGTCATGTAAAGTTCCCCCACTTGAGTGTCAATCTTCTGTTCACACACCCATGATCTATTTAGAAGCTTTCTGTATGAATAATGCCCTCACCATCTTACCTCTCCTGCCCTTTCTCTCCACTAAGTGCCGGTGTTAGAGATTGTAGATTGAGTCAGTCTTAAAAAAATGATAACATTATTTAAATGAAGTGCTTATATACAGTACCAGGATAGAGGATGCATTGACATTAGAGAGTGTCAAAAAAATATTGCCAAGATCAATTGAATGTGGTGTAAAAGACTGGAGCAAGGGAGAAAAAATTAAACCAATGCTTAGATGGGCAAAGGGAAAAATCCTGGCATTCAAGTAATAGCTATAAGTGTGAAAGGAGGTAAGTATTATTGGAAATACATTTTTTATTTAAGAAAATGTTAACTTTTGTTGATTTACATTCTCTTTTTAATATTCAACAAAGCATATGTTTATATTTATTTGAGGTATTCTAAAGTTTCTGCAAAGAATATTAGACAGGTCCACTTTATAACTGGAAGATTGGCAGGATAAATCATGAGATAACACTGAATTTAAGTAAACTGATTAAGTTTAAGCTAAGAAATAAACAAAGTGGATATGATATGTGGTAAAAAATAAAAACTATTTATTAACAAAGACAAAAACACACTGGACAATATCCTTTCATTCTGTTCATGAATTCATTATATGGCTTTTTTCCTTCAAGATGTCTTCCCATCAACCATCTCACTTGAGATCTCGTGTATCCAAATCTATCATTTCTTACTTAATATAAATTAGTGCTACCTATCTGTCTGATCGTTCTCATTTAATATAGAGGATTTCATAACCTTGAGATAATATCTGACCTACCAGTGAAGGACACTGTTTTCATCTAATTTTCTGCATAACATGCATCATTATAGCAGTATCTTCCATAGGCATAACAGGTATTGTCTGGAACAAATTCAACTTAACGACTTTCTAGACCATGTGTTATACAAAAACAACATAGATACAGAATAAATGAAAAGTGCTAAAAATTTGTACTTTATACCACAATTACAAAATATGTTGTTTTTTTTTGTTTTTTTAAGGTCACTGATGAACTACAGTGTATAAGTGAAGTGACCTTTAAAGTAGTTTCTCTAATTTTCTATGAATAAAGTCATGGTGTCATGGGTATGATTGCATGTGAGACATATGCTGTGTTGACATGATTTTATACCAGGTGACAGGCTTCTGTCAGTTGTGTGTAATTTTGAGTGTACCAAGGAGTCTTTTAAATTCTTGTTATGTTTGAAAGATGTAATGGGAGGGTTATTTTGTATAATTTTGGTAATATGTCTTTTGAAAGGATCTTAAGGTAAGCCCAGCAGTATTCTCTTTGTTTTTGGCTTATGGATTGTTTAAAATCTCTGAAGACATTACTCCCGGCCTTTTTAATAACATTAACAGGATAAATTCATTTTTCAAAGAAGCATGCCATTTTGTCGGTCTTGAATTTTAAATCATGATCATCAGAGCACAAATATCTAAGCCTTAATAACTGGTCTGTGGGGATCATATTTTTGGTTTCCATTGGATGAAAGATCTTGTAATTGAAATACACCTGACTGTTTATGTCCAAAAATAAAAGCACAAGTTTAAGTATTTTATATTAAAATGATTTAGAATATGCAACTCAGAATGTCACGTAGTTATGACAGCTGATGGTGGAAATGTAATGTATCAAAACATGTAGACATTGCTTGGCATTTCATATGTTGTGTGATGACACCAAAAATTTATTGTTTTAGGGAAGGGTATGTAATAGTTCTTTCTGGTGCAACATATTCATACTCTCATATTATAAAGATGTGTTCAGATTGGAAGTTTTGGATTTCCAAGATTGGAATATCTTTTATACTTAATGGTATTAGAAAACAAAGGAACTTGGATCTACTGAGGACCATTGAGAAAAAGACCTGCAACAAGTTGTACACAAATCATGTCAAGCAATGTGCAGCATCTTATACCAGGTGAGAATTCAGGAGTATAAAAGTTATTTATAAAAGTCATCCTTATGTCTCAAGCAAAATTTTGCAATATAATTAAGAAAGGTCTCTATCAGGAAATGAGTCTAACAGTGTGTGTGTGTGTGTGTGATCACAAAAATAAGACTTCCATTCATACCTTCTTTTCAACCATGACATACCTCAAGTAACTAGCGAATAAAATGGGTATTCATAGTATTCCACACAAAGACATATTTGTCATATTTCCAGATGTGGTATGGACTCTGTGTAATCAGACTGTTGAAACAGACACTAGGAAATCATTCTCCTCTTACACTAGATGGATTATGGAAAAGCATGCAGGGAGGAATTTTGCATTTTGAACAGCCTTTTGCAATGTAAGCTATCATACAGGACTATTGTCAAGATGCATGATTGTCAGGTAGAGTAGAACCATTTGTGGTAAGGTTCAAAATCATTTTATTATAACCTATTTAATATCACCCTTAATATGTTTTAATAACTCATTAAGATTTTTTTAATATTTTGCAGAGAAGAACACAAGTTGAACATACATGAGCTGAGAGGTGAGACGTACAATGGATTGGTGCGTCTGCTGAAACCAGGTTTTAGGACTATTGTACTTCTTGTAGATAAAGAGTCTAAATCCAAGCTTTTGCCCAAGTTCTACAAAATTGTCTACCCATACAGAAAGTAAGGCCAATAGTTTTTGTACTTAAAATCATCTTGCAGCATAATGGTCTATTTAAATTATGTCATTCATAATTGTGTTGACTTGTTATCATCAAATAGGTTGTACTTTTTGTTTTACATATCCAGCAATTGGTAGACTAATCTTTGGTGCTGGTGGGATGTTTTCTAAGTAAATTTTGATATAAATATATGTGCCTGTTGCTACATCACTGCCCCACCTCTGTTATGGTAAATATAACTAACTCATGTTAGGTTAATCTGTGGTAAAACTGGAGAACCTTTTCCCATCTAAATTATTTTTTGTCTTCAAATGATTGACAGATATTTAACTAATCAGAGTAATTACAATTGTGCACCAATATGAGGTTAAATTACCCATATAGCTAGGTCAGACATTGATGGGTTAAACAATTTATTAAAACTGTGGGAAAGACTTGTTGTATAGTACTTGTAACACCAATTCCATATATCTTGACAGACTAGTAAAGTAGAGTATTCTTTGCCCCATTTGGCAAAAAACAGTTGATATAGCAAAATGTTATTGGTGAGGCAAGGTATGCAGTTGCCCCAGCTGAATGTTGAGAAGACCAACAGGTACACGTATATTTGTTCAAGGTTTTCATTATGGTTTACTTAAGAGTAATCATAGAGGTTGTAATATAGCTTTGATATTTATAATCTCTTTATTTAAGCCATCATATGTGTTAGATATCTCATAAGCATGATGAAAAATTATTTTAACTAATTTTTTTTAAAGATGGTAGGAATGAAACTTACAAAGTTAAAGTATAATCCTAAAAGTTGTTTGTGATACACTTCACATTTAAATTATCTACTATTATTATTTTTTAGTGTCCAAGAATGGAAATTATTGATTCTCCTGATTTTCAACAGTAAACTTCATACTGCTGTGCAGATATTGCATAAATCAGGAGACCTGATCAGAATTTTAAAAAATTTTAAAAGTGTTGTCCACATACTTGCAATAGTAAATTGGTTTGAACTCTTGTGGTCAGTTGTACAACCATTTTTTTTCAACTTGGCAAAAAGTGGAGTCAGTCTTGAACACCATCAATTTCATCATATAACTTATCATTCAAAATGAAATGAGACTCTTTAATGGCAAAATTGATTAATTTCAAAAAACTGATTTTGGGATGCTTATTTTATTGGAATTATTGTTGTAAATCAAACTGGCACTCAGCTGTATAGTCCCTTCTAATGGTATATTAGTATTCAATGTAAAAACTGGCACAGTGAACACTACTATCAAACTTTAGTTCTTGAATTTCATGACAGAACTCAAAATTGTCTTTTAGGGTGTATTCATTTGTGGTGAATTTCTTTCAAAAGTCAACTAAGAAACTGGCCAAAGCATGATTGCAAGTTCAAGTATTAGATACTATTGGTCACAAGAGGCATCCTGCCTTATGAACTTTTGGTAACCCATAGGAGATTCATAGGTGACTCCCAGATGGTCTAATATTCCAATACTGTCCTTTGTTAAGAATGTTATCTTTTCAGTTGTAGTAAATATAGTTGAAATTTAGCCCTCCTTTTGTCAATGTGATCATTTCACAAATTACAAGGAATCACAATTTCTTCTGAACTTAAATTTAAAAAGTGTTTGAAATAACTGTTATAATTATTAAAAGCAGTCAAAGTTAAATTACTAATTTCAGTTATAACATTACTAAATGATTGTCCTGATTTGTTCCAAGTATGTTGATGTGACAGTATTTGTAAAAAGTTTTCATATTGTCAGAAACAATCTTCAAATTTAAATCTATTAGGAATACAAAATTTTAGACCATGAGCCAATTCCTTTTTCTCAACCTCATTTAACATATACTTAGAGTAATAAATATCTCTTGATCAGAATTTCCAATGAAAGAATTTTTATTTAACTGTTGCCTCAAATTGCTAATCTTATCTGAATGTTTGTTTTTCACCTTCACCAAAAATTGTATTGTTTTGTAACTGTATAAAATGTTTCAAGTATATAAAGTTTAAATAATTTGTTTCATTATCAAAGAATTTAAATGCCTCAGTAGATTTTATAACTAATGACTTAAGTAGCTGATTTTTTTGTCTTATTTTAAAATTAAGAAGCACTTTTTAAGTTGTATTGTAATGTTTTAAATACTGGAATTGTAGGATCGAAACCTTAAAATTAAGAAAATGAGGGAAACCTTAAACCATTTACATTTATTTAGAAAATAATAAATATAGTTGGTTCTTAGAAGATTGCAAATGCAGTTTTTCAGCATTTCTAAAAAAAAAGGAGTAACTTTATGGGACAAGATTTGGAAAGTCACTGGGAGGTATGCTTCCCATCCCCTTTCCATCTTGCTCTCCAATGGCAAGGAAGTTGTTGATGTCCAGAGCATTGCTGATGCTCTCAGCCAAAGCTTTTCTCGTGCTTCTAGAACTTCCGTTTCTTCCCCTGCCTTCG